CCTGCAAAATTTTTTGGATGGCAAAACCTTTACCTCAAATGAAGATGTCAAAAACCACCTGAACCAGTTTTTTGCCAGCAAGGACCAAAACTTTTATGAGAGGGGAATTATGTTACTGCCAGAAAGATGGCAAAAGGTATTGGACCAGAATGGCCAATATATAATTTAATAAAATATTTATTCATTATACGAAAACTGTCTTTCATGTTCCCCAAAAAAAAACGAAATGACTTTCCGAACAACCCAATATCTCACAGTTCGATATATTTATGCGCATAATTATAGGGGAATTATTGTCTAACACTGTCACAAAACATTACAAACAATCATCGTTATTAATTTATAAAACCTATTCGTTTCCTATTTCGATGGGATTCCGGTCACGCCGGATTCTTTTCGTTAATAATTCACCGTCGACAATCGGCGATTATTTATCGATTTTTGTTACGAAAACATTCCGCTATAATTGGTAGAAAGCGTTTGTCGACGTCTACGAGAACGCGGAACGTGGAAAGTGAAAATTGTTTTCGCGATAACGAGACGGCGTCATTAAAACGTCAAAGGAACAAAAAAAAACGCAAAAAAAGTGTTTCCATGGGTAGTTCAATCACTCCAATATGTCAACAAAAAATAGTCTCTTGCAGAGACTATTTTATCTTGGCTGTATATAAATCCAGAAGAGTAAAGATACGTCATGTATATAATAAAATAGAATTAACTATTAAAAAATGTAGATAGTAATAATGGGCGTTAATAACAGCAAATCTTTCATTAAAACTATATTATATATTGTACTATTCTTAAGCACAAATTAATTTCTTGAATTCATACTGTTTACAGTTGCATGGTGTTTTTTTGAGACAGCCGGTATAAGTATCACCCCCCACCCAAGTCTTGAAATAGTGTATGTATGATGCTATGCCGATGTAATCAACACACAAATATCGAATGTGTGCATTCCTCTGAAAACAGAAGCCAAAAACATTGGGCTTATGCTCGACAATAAGCTAAGATTTAATGGTCACGTTACACAACGTATCAAAAAATCTATTGCCCACTTAAAATGCTTATATGGTTCTAAAAATATTTTAAATCAATCATTAAAAACGTCCTGTGTGATTCGATAGATTTATCTATGGCCCATGTCTGACACAGGCTGCCTCAGAACGGATTCAAAAAAGCCAGAAATACTGTCTAAGATTCATAAGTCCGATGGCTCAATATGAAAAATCGACGATATCTCCATAAATGCAATCATTATCACAAAATTATAACATTGAAGTCTCCACGCTATCTTTTCAAAAAAATCAGCTTTCGCGCGGACGTTCACAATTTAAATTTAAGATTTAAAGGCCTACTCACCCCCCCACGCCGCACCTCTGGAATTTTTGAAAGATCCTTTACATATGATATGGCTAAAACATATAATGCATTGGATCAGTCTCTTAAATTGCTAAACAATACCTTTTCCACACACCTACGTGAAGTATTATTATAATTAAATATTTAAGTAATTTCTACTGTAAACTATTACCAAAGTGTAAGTCCCTCTATTTGCACAGATCGTATTAGGTATTTATTTATTTATTTTTATGTGTATTTTTCTTGCCTAGCGCTGCTACCTTCTTCTTAGGATAGGTTTAAAAACGGAAGTTCAAAATATCTTATTTTTTAAATTATTATTGTTATTATTATTATATATTTTTCATAATTCATTTCATAATTTCTCAAAGAAATTTCAAATATCGCTCAATCGTGATACACCTTGATTAAAAATTATATATTATCTCCTTCAAAATAATCCCTATCGACTGCAACATACTTATACCAGCGCTTGATCCAATCTACGAAACATTTTTTTGTATTCGGTTTTCGGTATGTCGATCCGTGCTGCCTGCCATTTTTCCCTTACTTCCTCTTTTTGGACTCGGTTGAACAGAGAGAAGTCATCATCAGGTGAGCTTGGTGGCTGTTGGATAGCGTTTGTTGCATTTTTTGTCAGAAAATTAGGAATAATGCTGGCACTGTGCGACGGTGCAAAATCCACGAGGTTTCTGCCCACAAGTTTTGCCCCTTTCGGAGAATTGCTACTCTTAACGACTAAATAATACTCTCTGTTTACTCTCTGACTTTCTGGCAAAAATTCATGATGTTGTAATCCACGAAAACCGTGAGCAATGATTTTTTTTGGTCTGAAAACGATATGATTTTTGATGGTCTAGACCCATTTGCCCATTCACTTGAATGATGCATGCATTGAGCGCCGTACATCTCCTTTGCGACGTCGCTTTTTTTGACTGAAATAGAAATTTTGGCACCAACCATGTTGGTAAACTGCAGAAAACCAAATCATTAACTAAAAGGTCTTGAGACAATCCATGGGCAACTCCCTGATGGTTAATTTGCGATTATTTACTAACATTTCTGTTACTTTATCAATGATTTCGTCGGTTTTCGATATCGAATAATCCACTGAGTTTATCTTCTTCGATTGGCTCAAGACCACTTTTAAACCGCTCGTACCACCGGTAAACCACCGTTTTATTTAAAGAATCTTTGCTGAAATCGTTCTCCAACATTTCCAGCGTTGGGGCACCATTAAACCCGTTTTTAACGTAAAATTTATTACAAGTTCGTTGTTGCAAATTTAAATCCATTTTTTAAATTGTATAAAATTCTCCAACACATACAGAGATAGAAGTATTCTTGGCTACCGAACTTTTGCAAATGTAAAGCCATGACGCTAAGATGTAGAGGAAAAGTCGACAGATGTACCAATTTAACAAAAAAAAAAAAAGAACTCAACTTTTTGATCAAAGAATTACACATAAACAGTGAAAAATCATTTAAATATCGGGTATTAGACTTCCTTTCCTTGAACATTTTTTGCAATAAACAGAAAATATACTGGGTAGGTCAAAAAGTATATCTCTTACTTTTATGAGCAAAGGAATAAAAACCAGAAATTTAATTTTGAAATGGACGCGTAAGTAAGCTAGTACCAGTAGTTCCACAATTACATTTCTGTCGGTAAAGAAAGTTAATATGCCACTCAGAGGTTAACTATTGACAATATGCTAATCGGTTTAAAACCTTTCGAAACCATCAACCAGGATATTTTCATTAATTTTCCTTATTTCGTATCTTACTCTAAATTTTGTGGTTTTTCGTTATACACTTTTGATATCAAATATCCGTATGTCTTAGCTATATTACTACTATTTTTAGATGCGCATTTCAATTTACGACATCCAAAACTAGATAAAGATTTCATGCTATGACCTAACTGAACGGTTTTTCTAACTGGGGACTTTACTATTTTTTTTTATATCTTTGCTAATAAAAATTGATAGGTCTAGGGCATGTTACAGGAATTATACATAAAATTTGACACAGAATTCTAAAAAAAAAGAAACTTGGTATCGACATCTTCTTTTTGACCCACACTGCATATGCTCTGTTTACTGCAAAAAATGCAGACGGAAAAATATGGTGGACGTGTGCGAGCATATTTCTTGAAATTCAATAACTGATTTGTAAATGAGATCGTTTCATATTTTAGCTGTTCACTGTACAATCATTTAAATGAAATACAGTCGAAACTCTATATAACGAAATTGAAGGGACTGTTTTTTTTTTTTGTTGAGAGTTGTTCGTTATAAAGAGTTATTTTAACATCTTCTTAGGAACATTTTATATAAATATTTAAGAACTTCTTTTAATGTTTCAAATAATCGGTTATTTTCGGTTGAATTTTTGTAGTATGCGAATACGCATCTTGTACTTTGGCATGTATTTTCACCATTTCTTCGAGAGGGGCATCTTCCCCATGGTACACAAAAAATTTCTCTAGCAGCTTAAATGAACGTAGGGCTTCATCTTCTTCCTCAACTTGGTGCTCTTCCTCACCCTTTCTTGCTTGTTGTAATATGGCTTCCTCTGTCAAGTCTGCTGTTGTAGGCAAATGCTGATCTATCACCATAAAATCTTGCACCTCCTCACATGTAAACGTAATTGTTGTTTGAAACTGCTTTATCTGCTCTCTTAGTGGCTGATCAACTTCCAAGTCTTGTTCGCATTCTGTCTGTGAAATGTCAATTCAATATTCCGTAGATTTGGGGATGTGCTAAGAGAAGTCATATTTTCCTCCCCTTTAATTCTGCATCCCATTTCCGTACCTCATCTTCAAAAATTTGCGATGTCATCCATGCAGACTGTTTGCCTTGTAAGTGACCGGCAAATGATTGATGTTCTTAAAACATCGTGAGTTAGTTGATTTTCCAATCAGGACTAGTTTTCTTTTTTCTCTCCCAGTTATATTGTAAAAAATACCAGTTTCGTCGGCATCAAAAATGTCGTCAGCAGGGTACTTTTCTGCTAGTTTTGGCCACGTCCTCTCCAGCCAATCGTTAGTGACGTTTCTCTCGAAATCACGAGTTTCGCCACTTATTTATCCATAATTTATACCATGTCTCCGTTCGAACTTCCCCAACCATTCTTCTGAAGCCTTGAAATCGATAATGTGTTTAGCTAACGTTTCTGCTTTTAGATTTCCGATAGGTCCAGAGAGTGGTACATTTTTAAGACGTTGCTGTTTTACTAGAACCTCCTGCCGCTTCAGCATGAATAATTTTTTCTTTGCACTTCCAAATCGTGGATACAGTAGACGGTGTAAGACAGTATCGACGTCCCACATCACTTTTCTATTCTCCAAGTTCTATCTCCCGAATTAAAGCAATTTTTTCATCTAGAGATAAAATTTTATTTTTTTTAATTTATTTAACAATAAAGTCATCATTAAAATATACCTCTCAAATCTCCAGCTTACAAGTGCTCTTGCATGTCGAATAGCCTAAAATTCATTATGACTGTACAAATAAAAATAAACAATTTCTTTGTATTTCTGCTAGTTTGGCAATAATTTTTCTGTTGTTTTTTTTAATCTATCATAAATTCAGGCGTCTTGGAAACAACATACAACATAAAAATTTTCTTTTCAGGCCAATGTGATTTGAAAAAACATCCCGCAACTAACCAAAGGAAACATGGAGTGGAACGCGGGTGATTTGATCTGGTTCGACCCGGGCCTCGGTCACTGGCTTCCCGGGGAGGTTTTGGAATACCACAGGAGCGCCAACGTGATCACGGTGCAGGCGGTGATCGACGGACAGGTGAGGAGAATGTCTTGCACGTTTGTAACGCGTCGAACGTGAGAAAAACACGTTTTTTAAGAAACAGTTACGCGATAAAGTGGTTAATTAACAATATAATATAACGAAAGTTACGTTAATCTGAATAGAGGTGGCAACAAACCGAGATAGAGGTCGCTAATGAAACGCGTTTGTTGTTTTTTCCAGACACTTTCTTCGCTTTGTGATTTATTTCGCTTCCGCCACGACAATGTTATTATAACTCGGCGTCGAAACGATTTGGACACTTATTTATTATAATTTGATTGACAAATTTTGACAATCTAACAGGAACAAGTTGGAGCATGAAAAATTCAATTTTTGGAAACTTCCATTATTATATAAGTTATTTATAAAAAATAATAATAAATATTATTTATTGGTCAAGAAATAATCACACAATCAAATAGATAAACGCAGAATTTAAAAAGATAGAAAATGACAAAAAATTACCCCGCACAGATTGTAAGGGATTTGTGACTTTAAAGTTTAAATTAAACAGAAAAAAACAAATTTTAACATTTTGTTTGTTTTACTTCTAAGACTAAAATGGTGGAATATTCTAAAGACCGTATATTTGCGACAGCAGTTATGAGCAATATACCCGGTTATGAGCAAAATCCAAAACTGTAAAATTTTACTTTTAACTTTTCTTATTAGGAGTCGATTTTAAAAAAATAAGTAATTTTCAGGCACCAGAATATTAGTCTTTCAATTTCCCAGCCCAAAATGACAGATGTCATAAAATTCAGGATGGCGGAAGCAATGTGTCGTTCGCCTAGGTTTAACTTTTATATTTTTTAGCTAAAACGTTGTGATTTTTTCAGAACAAGCTTTTAACTAAATGAAACATTTTTTAATAACAGTTTGTTACGGAAAAATATTGATTGAAACTAACCAAAAGTAATCATTGTAAAAAAAAAAGCAATATCACAACATTAACTTATACATATATAGAAGGTACCGACAGTCGCCTGATAAAACTTTAGAATGCTTTGTATTAGGCAGTACTTGCTTAGCATTCATAGACTGGATACAACTTTCCTTGAAATCTATTAAACAATGCCTTTTTGTACATATCTACATATTGTAATAGACAAAACAATAGGTATGCGATATTGCTTGAGTTTTAATCAGTTTGTATACTTGTATTTCGTGCAAGACGCACTCCTCTTTTTCTGTTAATCCCTTTACTGCGAAAATCAAACCCATACCGATGTCACATTGCTATTTTTTCTATTTTGTTGTCTTCAAAAATAAGTTTATCGATAAAAAAATACATTGGTCGGGTTTAATCTAAGAGAACAGGTAGATACTTTTTCATTAGTTGGCTGTGAGACTAGTGAAGTGAAATTTTTTATTGACATTTCGAACGTCATTATCATCTGTGGTAATGATATAGCTACTTAGCTATAGAGAACACTTTGATTGTGGAGGTATTTTATTTTAACCACTTCCTAATGGTTTATATGGTATAAAAAAACATATAATCTGCAAGGTTATGAACTAACACATTTTTTGAGCGGTTGAGAGAATTTTTTTGTGACGAGTAGTAAGTAACCTTAAAGAGACAGTCGCAACAATGACGTTGCTAAACTTATGTGTCAATTTAAAAAGGACTTTGCTGACATAAAAAAGAAAATGATGTGTCTGTCATTGATCGGGGACATAGAGAAGCACAAGAATTTTTAAAGGGGTCTTGGCGCCATGCCGGTTGGGAAGCATTGAACGTTAAAAAACTATTTAAGTTTCCTTTTCTGACCCTTAATTACTTAAGGAAGATAAAAATCCATGTTTCAATTGCACCCCTCTTATATTGAAGACAATATTGAGGAGTTTGGAGATCTATTTTTTAAGTAGATGCTCGTTTAGATATTCCAAATGTCTTAAGATAAAGATTTAGATCTCATTACCGAAGCAACGTAAAATACCAATGCGCAATTCAATCTAACAACCAGGAGCCACACGAAATTGGATACTATTGTATTGTATGTCGATAGGTACTGTGGGACAACAGGGATTTAACGAGGTAAACATATATTTATTAAAACCATTGTTTTGGGTAAGTAATAAAAGCGTCTATTTTTTACTTTAGTTGAGCTGGAAACAAAATATCAAGTTATATTCAAGTCTAATCCTAATTTGTTGCTTTTTTATAATATATTGTCCTGGGTTTTTGCCTATTGTTAAAATAATTATTACTTTTAATATATTTTTTTTTTACTAACTTTAACTATATATCAAAATATGTCCTCTTCCCGATGATGATTATTATAAAGAAAAGACTTGGTAATAAAAAATGAATATACCGCTTTAGTTTTCATACCCATTTTCTTGAATCTCTTTTTTCTGCGGTTTTCAGATAAAATATAAAAGATATATTCCAAAAAACACAACACAAAGTTTTGAATTTTATTACATTTGGCGTCGTAAATTGAAAGCATAAAATTCTAGTGCCTGAAAAAGACTGATTTTTTAAAAATCGGCTCCTAATAAAAATAATAAAATCTAAAAATTTTTTAAATTTAAGGAAATCAAAACATGATGATAAAATTGAAAAAAAAAACTCTTTAACAAAAACCAAATTCAACTTTTGACGCTACGTACTAAAGAAATCCTCTTTCGGAAGTAGGCAAACGTTCATACTTCTAGAGACCTTGCAGAAATGTTTTAGATATTGTCGAAAACATTCTATTTAAGTTTTCGACTTAAAATTTGAGTTAAGATAAATTGGAACATATTTTCTTGCCCTGTACATTCGGTAGGCAAAATATGTTACAGCAACCTTCCAATCTTTATTATAATCCGCTTTCAATAAAATAACGATGTCGACAGTTTTTTTAACACTTGAATTCATAATCAATTTTCAATAAATCTGAAATTTTTTAGCATAAGTAAAATTTATCGGGAACAAACGAGGAATTAGTATCAAATCCAAATTTGCTACTAATTTTTGACGATTCTCTCGTGATTAAGATTCAAAATTCTTTTGTTCATCACAAATAACACTATTCCGTATAGGTGTGTACGTTTAAATTACTTAAAGCTTTGGGTTTTTCCAATTCACCTTGTTTTATATATTTATAAATTTGCGGTTTGTCAAAAAACACGTTCACTTTCGTTCAGTACGTTTAGTAACTAGGTTCTAGGACGAATATTAAAATAAACTAAAATAAACATTGGTTTCGCTGAAAATAAATTAATTTCTACCTATAGCGTTTGCAAAAAACGTCGGCGACTGGTTTTAGAGAGTTGTTTGACGAATAAAAAATCGGAACGACTACAATACAACAATTACTAGACAAGCATCGAAAATATGAATAAAAGTGATGTAACGCTTGATCGATTGACGAGTCAGATATGCATCGACAATATGAATAATAATGATTGTTTATGGGAGATGTTTAAGTGAATCCGTCATAGGCACTTTCCAGCCGAGGAAACTCAAAAGCGGATATTTTGAGTTATTTCATTTATTTAAGTTGGGAAAGTGAACAAAGGCTAAGTCGCCACTAAAACGATTTATCCATTTGCCTGTAGTGTTGGGCAATTGACCATTCTTGCAATTGTGGAGTGTTACACTTAGAAAAAAAATGCGTTTTCAAATGAACAAGAAATCAACTTCTTTCTACAATTTTACTAATTAAAATATAACACTTTATTTAAGTTTAAAAATTGATTGATATTGATTTGTTTATTTAATTGTTAGTTTAGTCGCCTTAAAACATTGACGATTTTCTTTTTTCCTTTGCTTAATGCATTGGGTATTTGTTTTAAACGGAGTTGTGTTTAAAACAAGTTATTACTGGCTTCTTATAAAATGTCGTTAGTTTAGGTTAGTTAGCGGTCACTATCGGCGTTTACATTTTCAGTTTTTGTAACCGTTTCCTTGTCGGTTTTGATAGTAGTTCAGTTTTTAAATTGTTTTTAAAGACTGCCTGAAAGATCGCGTCTAAATATTCTGAACAATTTTCTTTCATTTTCTTACCAACACCTAAGTAAAGTTATGATTTGAATTCATGTAAGACTTTTAATATTAATTCAATTTCGGGGAAAATTTAATTCCAATAAAAATATTATATTTCATAAGAAGACCAGTTCCATTAACATTTCATGTACCTGAAACTAAAAAATAGGACTTTCTGGTCTAACGTTAAGAGAAAAAAAGGACTATAAGGAACTAAGGATTAAATAGGAAACAATTCTTTGTGATGCTGTGCAGACAATACTTTTGCCTTATTGATTTATAAAATAACGCAAAATCATATTTAATTTTGACTAAATCATTAGCGTTTTCTTTTAACTTATAACGTGTTAAGAAATATAAGGTTGTTCGGAAAGTCATTTCGTTTTTTTCCCGTCAGAGGACTTAATTACGTTTTTTCGAAACCAACTTCACACTTAAGCCGCATAACCATTATATGTCTTGAGAGTTGATATTGCAAGGCTTGTGTGTGAAAAAGTTCTATTAATTCTACGCAGTAGCTTTTGGTTGGTGCCCTTTTAAATATGGAGAGCAATAAGCAGCGTTTTCGTCATATTTTACTTTTTTACTTCAGAAAAGGTAAAAATGCTGTCCAAGCGAGAAAAAAATTGACGGATGTGTATGGAGAAGGCGTGTTAACAGTACGCCAGTGCCAGAACTGGTTTGCAAAATTTCGATCCGGCAATTTTGATGGCGAAGATGCACCACGGTCTGGAAGGACGGTTGAAGCTGACAAAGATGCGATAAAGGCATTAGTTGATGCAAATCGGCGAATAACCACACGAGAGATCGGTGAGAGATTAAATTTGTCGAATTCGACTGTTTATGGCCATTTGAAAGGCATGGGCTTAACCTCGAAGCTCGATGTGTGGGTGCCCCATGTCCTTACGGAGCGAAATTTGTGTTGTCGCGTTGACGTGTGTGATTTGCTCCTCAAACGTCAAGAAAATGATCCATTTTTGAAGCGGATTATTACTGGGGTTGTATACAACAATGTTAAACGCAAGAGGTCATGGAGCAGAAAAGATGAACCGGCTCAAAGCGTGTCAAAAGCCAACATTCACCAAAAAAAGGTGATGCTCTCCGTTTGGTGGGATGTCAAAGGAATCGTTTTTTTTTGAGCTTTTGCCGGACAATACAACGATTAATTCAGAAGTCTATTGTCATCAACTGGACAAATTGAATGATTCACTTAAAGAGAATAGGTCCGAATTAATCAACACGAAGGGTGTAGTGTTCCACCAGGATAATGCGAGACCTCACACAAGTTTGGTCACTCGCCAAAAACTTTTACAGCTTGAATGGGACGTACTGCAACATCCACCATATTCTCCAGATCTGGCGCCTTCCGACTACTATTTGTTCCGGTTCCTGCAAAATTTTTTGGATGGCAAAACCTTTACCTCAAATGAAGATGTCAAAAACCACCTGAACCAGTTTTTTGCCAGCAAGGACCAAAACTTTTATGAGAGGGGAATTATGTTACTGCCAGAAAGATGGCAAAAGGTGTTGGAGCAGAATGGCCAATATATAATTTAATAAAATATTTATTCACTATACGAAAACTGTCTTTCATGTTCCCCAAAAAAAACGAAATGACTTTCCGAACAATCCAATACTTAGCTATTCTATTTACTTCTCACGACGACGCGACGGCGACGTAACGCACAATATAAATAAATTAATATTTATTTCCACAACCCTGCCTACTTCCTAAAGAATATTTTTATTAAATAAATGTTAATAATAATATAAACATTTGTGTACTTGAATTTTAAAAAACGATAACCAGGTATAATATTTTTTTTTATCTAAAAGCAGCAGAATTTCTTAACTTTACATTTGATAACCTATTAGTAAGTTATGGTGTTTCTCTAAATTGATGTTTTAAACAATTTTTTGGTTGCACACTTACGGGACTAATTAACTAACCACAACCAAAATTTTAGAATTTGAGTATGTTAATAAACAGATATTTAAAAAAGAAAAGTGTTCTTCGGTTAAAGTTAATAATTTTTAAACCATATATTTTATCAGATTTGGCATTGTATAAGTATAAATAACAAGCTACTGCAATCATCAGTTGTCACCGGTGCCTCCTTCTGATATTTTTACTATTTTACTACAAAAATTATCACTCAACTAAACATTTTTTTACATTATCAGGCTATCGACAACTGCGTCAATCAATCAAATTTTTATTGCAATTAACCGAAAGGCATTTTCTACAAGAAATATAGCTGCTTTTCTCCGATAGCGTCAATGTCGCCCGGTTTTCTAGTTACCAACAGTCCCATTTCGGATTTAATTGTTACCAGGCGGTGAAAGGATATTATGGAAATCACTCGTGGGAGTCGCTACACAAAACTCGAAACTCTCGTAAACACAGGTATCAATTTTTACAGGCCCAGACCTTCGCGCTCGGCGAGGGTGAAGGTCAGGTCAGACGGAGGCAGGACCTGGGACGGGGAGGTGTCGAAGACATGATTCAGCTGACCGACCTCCACGAAGCCGCTTTGCTGTGGAACCTTAAACTCAGGTAAATGTCACGAAACGGGCGTATCGCTCGCGTGAGCCCATTTAACGACCACCAAAATTAATTATTGGGAAACCCAAATAAAAGAACAGGATATTTACTTTTTTGTTATTTATCTTTGTCTGTTAAAGTCTGTTCATAGATATAAGAAAGTGATTAATTGCTTTTGAATGGGATTATCCAAGGGTGGTCATTAACATACAATGCAACAAGATTATTAACCAAAAGTTTCGGAATTTAAATTCAGGTAAAATTGTGGTCCGTAATAGAAAATAATTATTTACCTACCTGTGTTTAATATTCTTTGGTTTGATATACTACTTAGTTTAAGTTATTAGTAATCATTCTTATTTCGTGTGTAATACAGCGTGTGTTGAATTGTGTGCGAATTATGCAAAATATGTGCGAGTCTAATGTATCGCAGGAGATGCTCCCTCCCAAATGTAGAAAACACTATTCTATTGAGGCTAACGAGTTGTAAACAATGTTTATTTGACCCCCATGGAACGTGGTGCCAACAAGCAAGCATCTTTAGAAGAAACGGCCACATTGACGAAAATTCCAACATCAACTGTATGGAAAATTATGAATAATCCCATTTCAGCGAAGAAAAAAAGAAGCGATGCTAACATTTTCTCGAGTGTAGATGAAAGTGATCAAGATATAATACGGCGTGAAATTTACCAGTTATACGAGGAACAAAGCGTGCTTACTTTAGATATCTTAATTAGGAGGCTTGAAAAGGATGAAACCAGTGTTAAATGTGGGTTAAATGTTGAATGGCAGAACTACCTTATGGAAGTGTATTCAACACATGGGTTTTAGATTTAAAAAAATTGACAAAAGGCAAGTTTTAATGGAATCTTTAGGAATTCGGAAATGGCGACTGGAATATCTAGAAAAAAATGGGATTTACAGAGAACATCAAAAGCCAAAAGGGTTGGGTTGACTATTTTGCATGCTGGCTCTAAAGATGGTTGGCTTCCAAATGAACTTTCTCTGTCTGCGAAAAATATTAAAGATTCTTCTCTCGATTACCACGAAGACACCACCGCTGATTTATATGAAAGTTGGTTTAAAAACAAACTAGTTCCAAACATTCCTCCTAATAGCGTCATTGTAATGGACAATGCAAGTTATCACAGTAGCAACAATTCAAAACTACATGTATAATAGCGACATTCATTTTCAAAATTTATACATACATTTATTCCAAAAAGCAATTAGTTGAGGGTCTACAAAGCTTGAACCTACAAAAGGAATACGTCTGTGATAAGCATGCAAAAAATCTAGGGCATACAGTTTTAAGGCTTCCACTTTACCACTGTATATTTAATCCCATTGAACATGTTTGGCACCAAGTGAAATCTGCCATTCGTCGTAAGAATGTTTTTCCCGTATTAACTCCAATGTTCTCAAACTTATAGAAACCGAAGTTTTTAACATCCCTCCACAAAGTTGGGCAAATTCTGTTTAACATATAGAAAAAGCAGAATATAAATCAAATAATAATTAGAACACGCGATGATAGCGATAGTGATACTGTGTAAGTGTAGTTTAGTAATTTAAGTAGATAATAAAAATAATTTGTAATTTTATTTTAAATTTAAACATAAATACATGCAAAAATAAATAAATATTGTTTAGTATATTTCCTAACAAAACCCCAAATAATTAAATTCTATGCAAAGTACGGACCCGTTCGTCCATATTTCATTCTTATAGCTTGCCCGGGACTTTCCTTAATTCGTATCAGTTAGTCACTTTCTTATATCTATGAACAAACTTTACCCGGGCTATCTTCACTTTGACAATGTATCCATTTACAAGGATGGGATGGTGTTTTGAAACTTATTGAGGTAAATTACTCTGACATTACTCAGGTTATGACATATATTTAGAACAAAATGTATTGCCCAAATAACAGACACCTTCGCAATTAATAATAATATCATCAAAAATCATTGAAAGAGATGCAGAGAAACATATTGTTATACAGTTTTATACAGCAGATAACAATAATAATAATACATATATTTACATGTTCAAAGTAAAAGTAACATATACAAAAGCAATATTTATAATATATATGTTATTTATATTATTAAAAGGAGCTTTGAGGTAATTAAATTGTTCAAGTCTCAGCAACTAAATCTTACCTAACTTACAAACTAAAAAGCATAATATCACAGAGGAGAGAATTTTCTTTCAAGTGAATTAAAACGTTTAATTGTTAAATTTGGTCACTTTGGGGAGAGAACTGAAGACTTTAACGATAACATGAAAACATCGTCAACCATAGTGCAATACTGGGAAATATAAAGCGTTTTTTTAAACACTAATCGTCAGATACTGGATTAGAAGGACCAAGTAGATTGAGATACTGGAATCTCTTTATCACTGAGCAGTACTTTCATTAGTAGCTTTTTAAATCTTTGTATGTTTAGTTTTTAATGGTAGGGGACAGGCTATACACGTTTTAGGTAATGTGGTACAGTGTTGTTTTGGGGGGAGAGGGTATCAGACCTCGCAATCTTAGATTTAGACCATGAATATCAGTTCTATATTTGATATCATTCGACAAATACGCAGGCGTTCTCGATACAATAAATTTATGAAAAAAGGCAAGAGAGTGACTAGCAAAATATGAAGTAAATTCATTTGAAATGAAGTCCTGGTTATACGTGTTGTCAACGTAGGAATAAAACGCTTTGGGCCGATTGAGGAGGTCATTTTCGAATGCTGACTTCGCCTTGTTGCTGCATGTCACGCCACCCAGTGTCCCTTGCAAGATGCAAGATGGGAAGGTATTTTCTGATGCCATAAACGAATCTCAAACTGGATTTTTGAACTTCTTTTTTTGAAAATGATACCAGTCGCTGAGATTGCCCTCAGTTATACTTTTAACCTCTTTCCACTCGTTAAAAGAAAAAAAATACGAATTATGGCTGTCATCCGCGTATTGATGACTCTGGCAATTGCCCCTTATTAATATTAGTTATTAATATATACTCTTATTTTATTTAAATCAGCATCGTCTGTATCGTGAAACAAAAAGTCATCTGCAAATTGATATGTGCTGAGATAGTTAAGTTAATGGCCCTAAAGCACTACCCTTGAGAACCTCTTGAACCAAGTCCAAGTAATTAAAGCATGCGTTTCGAACAAATACTCTTTGATTCTATAAAGGAAATTCCATCAGAATCCAACCCAAAGAATCTAAGTTTGGTACACCAAATATTAGGACAAATAGATTTGCATTCATCTACTTAATCAGATACTTTTAAGAAGGGAATTGTTGTGTTATGTTGAGCTCTAAAACCGTAGACTGCTCCTAAGTTTATATTATTGTACCTTTTCTTTGTAAGAATATTTTTTGCAATTTAAAAATCCACTGAGATCTCTACAGTAGAAGCAGGGGCAGAGTTTCCCTCTGTCGTTTTTTTTTTAAATTTAAATACGTAACAACTCAAAAGAGGGGCTCAGTCCCACTTCTGATATTAGATTTAGATTTTTAATTTTTAATTTTTTTAATAACTCACTGGGCGAATTCATACGGTAGAAGGCACGTGGTGATTCTATCGCCTTCCTTTACCTGACGCTTAAGCAACTAACCACCAGTTGGAGTTTATGTTTATTTTCACACAGTAGCGTTGCAATATTATTCACACATTAATAATTACTCCGTAATAACAGTAATAGTAGACGTCTCAAGTCATTGGAGTGCACATTCCATATTTCTGAATACAGTTCAAAACCTTCCAAACACGGCGTTCTTCTGCTTTTGCAAAATTTTCAAAATTTTGATTGTAATTGAGAAAAAAATACCAAATTTTACAACTTGCTGTAAATGTTTCGCGACAGTCGTGACATCAAAATGTTCAAACTAATATGTTTAGATTAGCGTAAGCTATAGTTAGCTAAGCTAGGCAAGGACTTCGCCCTGGAGTAAAACGTTTAAGCAAAATTTCTTCGGTCACTCAAAAGAGAGCGAGACACTGTTTTTTTTGCAAGCCTTTGTGTGGCACGCTGTGCTTTAAATATTTAAAAAAATAAATAAGAACTAAAAGTTCAGATTTTCACGAAATTATATATTATGACATGACAATTATTTCGACAATTGTCATGTCATTGTATTTATTTTGATAAATGGATTTTCATCAAGTAAAAGCCACCTCAGTTCAATCTTTAAATATTTTATTCACGACTTGTCTTGGTTACTTTGGATAACGTCACTGATCGAAATAACAAATATCCACTAAATATATTTTACGTTAGTGAAATTTATCAGGAGACATCAAAAACCGCTATTATATAAGTGGGGAGAGAAATTATGGATGTATCTCTTCAAGCCTCCCTAATTATAATACGTACGCATGAAATCGCAATCGAAAAATGCACTCCGCTCGAGATTTTGCAATTAAACGCGAATCGCGGGAAAGTCTCTCGAAAATACGATCAGTTTGTTAGCCCGGCTTGCGGGAAAAACATTTGCTTTTTCGAAAATCCACACTTACGGCGTAAATTGACCAGTTCGGCGAGCGGTTCGTTGGCAGTTCTCTTATTGAATTAATTGCATAAATAAGGTACGAACCGTTAGCGATTTTTTTCTAACGTTACTTCCTGTTCGTGCGATATTAAGCGTTTAGTAATTTATTGCCGGCCTGCAACGAGCGTTACTTTCCTGCAAGGTAAACGCGTGGCATTTTTCAGCGATTGACAACGCGTCGTCGGTCGATCGCCACGCCCCCCGCCCGACACCAGAGGTTCCCAAACTCTTTTCTTTATTCTTGTACTGAGCATAATGTATGTAACGTTTTTTTTTCCAAACACATTTTCAAGACAACGACTACAACATTCCATTTTTTTGTTCAACTTTGTTAACTTCCTTCAATGTTAATATGCATCGGACTTATAATATATTTATAGCCGTAACATTTGAAAATAACATTTGATTTTCTATTTTGAACCTTCATATTTTATTCAATGACCAAAACTGCATGAATTTGTACTTCAAAGTGTTAATGTTTCTGTTTAATCTTTAATTATCCTCGTATCTACTCATGAAACTAATAAACGAATACAGTTGAATCAATAAACTGAAAGAAAAATCAGTTTTCGTGAAAACAAATGAAAATATAATAATAGTGATGTCTAGGAAGCCTAGAAATATCAATAATATAGTGACAACTTCTCCGTCATTTCAGCCTCAAAAAAAAAAAAAAGGATTTACGAGTCATAATCAGATCGGTAACAAAATATTTCATTTTGGTTGGTTTGGCTTATTAAATTGTATAGTCTCCGTTAATTAATATTTGTTATTTGTTAATATTGTTAGTTCAAAACAGTTGGATAACAAAAGTATTGGTCTGAGTTTTAATAGGGATGTGTGAATGACCAGAGTTTTTATATATTACCTTTTATGGAGCTCCTGCATATATTAAAAAATAGAGTAAAAAACTAAAAGTCTTTTGGACCCGATGGCATACCAACATTTTCATTAAAAAGAGTACTAGGTACTTGGTGAATCTATATTTTCTAAGTGGTAAATTCCCATCGTATCTAAAAAGAAATAGAGTTGTGCCAGTTTTTAAGAAAGGCAGGAAAGCTATCGTCCGGTAACAATTTCAATTAGTTTTTCTAAAGCGTTTGAGCGTACTTTCTTAGAGAGATTAATGTATTTTGTAGATAAATATCATAGTTTCATAGATAACCAACATAGCTTCAGAAAAGATTGAAGCACTTCAACTGCTGTTCGTATTTCTGTAGGATAATTTCTTTTATCGAGGACGGTGAGCGCCAGGTTGGAATATTTTGGGACCTAAGTCGGGCATTTGAGTATGTTTATTTTAAGGAACTTGGGGAAGCTCTGCACGCTTTGGGTATAGATTGGATCAATAGTTTTTTTCAAGATCGTTCTCAATTTTATTTTATTTAAATTTTATAACGGTAAGAGAATGGAAAGGGCAAATTCAGCTGGTTAACGTATAGAGATACTCTTCATATTATATCTAAATTTTAGGCAGTATGTTTTTTTGTCATGTATGCGGGTGATCTTTCCTTCGTGATGATGTGTGGAAATGACGATGACCTCTCAGAGAAGTGCTGTGGGGTACTCGATAGATTGATGACATGGTTTGGAAATATTAATCTCTATTTCAACGCAAACAAAAGCAGAGCTATAAGGTTTCATAATTATCAGAAAAAATGTGATCATTTTAATATTTATTTAGGTAATGACACTATCGCAAGTAAGGATAGTGTGATTGAGTTTTGATGATTTAATTGGAAGTTCATTGTGATACTCTTATTTCAACTCTGTGTAATTATCTTTTTATAAATCTTCGTGAGATTTTAACTAGGCACCAGTTAATTTTTCAAACAAACTTTCACAGGCTACTTTAATACTTTTTACAAAACTTCTGGATTCTTCCTGCGTCGGTTTTTGCAGAGTTGAAATTCCTGACGTTTCGCTAATCATCCTGTTGGCTTCCTCAGAGCTTGACAAATTGGTGACAGGTGGAGACATGAATCGCGGTTAAGATTGTTAGGTTGTGTTTATAGATTTCTCGTTGGTAAAAGAGCTGATTACATGCAAGAATTTTAGTTTTATCCGAAACTAAAATTCTTGCATGTAATCAGCTCTTTTACCAACGAAAAATCCGAGAGTCCATAAAAATGTATAAACGACCTAACAATCTTAACCGCGACTCAGGTCTCTACCTGTCACCAATTTGGGAATCAGTCGTCGGAGATGGTGTTTATACCCCCCATTAGCGCCCCCCTCAAACAATATATAAGCAGGTACAGAGTAAAATACGAGCCAGTTTCAGTCAAGCTCTGAAGAAGCGAACAGGACGATTGGCGAAACGTCAGGAATTTCAACAAAAACCGACGCAGGAGGAATCCAGAAATTTTGTAAAAAGTAGGCAACAGTTGCTTATACTATGCGAAGGCGAGTCCCGATTACTTTATGTGATCAATTTGTGGGGAGCATCTGTATATGCCGATAAAGTATTTTTGACTCCTAAACGTATATTAAGGAGTATTGCGGATATTTTCAAGTTTATCTCTTGTAGGGGTTTTTTGTTCAGTACAAAATTCTTACACTGGCGATTTTTGAAATGTCATTGTATGTCTTTAACAATTTATCGAATTTTAAGTTCGTTGGTGACGTACATTCTAAGCATACAAGACAGAGCGGTAAGCTGCATGCTCTTCCTGTCGACGACTTCGAGGTCACCTGATTATTTAGGTGTTCTTATTTTTAACAATCTGCCAATAGAGTTAAGAAACAAAATTGTAAAACCCTGTCTATCTAAAAAACGATTACAAATGTTTTTGTTATCCAAAAAATGTTAAAGTCTAGACGAATTTTTTTGAGTAAATGTTTTTTTATATGTCTACGTATATTGTACCTATTATGTATTTTGACTATTGCTATACAATTTTGTAGTTGTCTTTGGTAAAATAAATATTATTGTTATTAATATTATTATTACCTACAACGCCGCCACTGTATCGCAGATACGACAGAAACTTGATCTACACATACGCGGGAAGTATTTTGGTAGCGGTGAACCCTTACCGGATGTTTGACGGCTGCTACGGCATCGAATCCGCGCAGAAGTACAAAGGAAAAATGATAGGGGCACTGCCCCCGCACTTGTTCGCGTCGGCGGCGGCAGCTTACGCGGCCCTACCCGCTCCGCAGGTACCACAGGGTTTCCTTTTATTTTGGGATAGTGGTGACGCCGAAATTTGACAGGTCGCGGTTATCAGCGGCGAGAGCGGATCCGGCAAGACGGAATCCACCAAACTGGTGATGCAGTACCTGGCGGCGGTGGCGCCGTCCGCCCCCAGGGGGCAGGCGCTCGTCACTGAACAAATACTCGAAGCCACGCCTCTGCTCGAAGCCTTCGGCAACGCGAGAACCGTGAGGAACGACAACAGTTCTAGGTTCGGCAAATATCTGGAGGTTTATTTCAAAAATGGAGCCATCATAGGTGAGAAAATTACGAAATTATTTTGCCGTTACGCCTTTCAAATAATTGTCCCTCATTTGAGAGGTTTTAGAGAATGTTTGAAACTTGAAACCACATCCCCTCTCTGGTGGGACAATTGGGAAAAAATTAGTATAAAACTAGCAGTAATTTGAGAAGAAAAAGTAGATTTTTATAAAAGAGTTCCTAATGTCAGCTAATATATTTTTTTCAAGAATCAGCTTGTTTAGATTCCAAAATCACAGAGACTGAAGCGAAAATTGAAGTGTTTCCAATTAGTGTAAAACGAAGCATTTCCAAGTTCAAAGTAGGCTTCAGCAAGAAGAATTCGCAAAAAAGATAAATTTGAAGTGTGAAAAGCAGATTTTCTTTGACAGCAAATGAAAGAAGTCCAAGGAATATATTTATTGAAAGTAGTGAACGTTCGAAACGGTTTAAAATAATGTAGTTACCAAGTAAGAGCACCAAGAATTTTAAAAGATATTAGCAATAGTAAAATCATAATAAAAATTTCTTAAGCGCCCAGGTTAAGGAGATAAGAAAAATTCTCATATATCCGTCTTACGATAAAATTCTACAAACGAAGAAGCGATACTACTTCAGATAGTTTATTAAACACCTTTACAGTCTCTGCTAAATCACACTTAAAAGGGTAGTTTACCCATAGAAAGATATTTTTTGTTCTCTAAATAATACGAGTTTAATTTTGGCCTATAAGTGATAGTTTGGCAGATCGTCAGCACAGGCTTAATACAAACGATAGTTTCACAAAATTAATAACTCGGATTCTAGTATATTTCTACCTACCCTAGCGCCCATAAAACTTATCGACAAGGAAAATAGCAGAACCAATATTTGGCATAACTCCAGAACTTCTTCTCTTCTATTCTGTCGGCCCATCAACCGACAACCGTGCTTATTTTAAAAGAGAAAACATTTATTATCAAAAAACAGTATTCAGGAACGATTACGTTCTCAAATTAGCTTCATTGTAGATAAACCAAAGCCCGGCTTTGGCAATTCTAACTATAAGAACACAAATTGATATCAGAACTATTCAAAGATTCCATGTAGAATTAGAAACCTTGACATCAGGATTTGTTATAAGTGATAGATTCCGAACTTATACATTAGACACTACTAAAATGTTTGTATCTTTGTATCCTATATAAAGATTGAAATCGAAATCTTTTTGTCATGTTTATGAGCAAATCTAACAGTGTGGAACATTTTAAAAAGTCTTAAACATTTCCGATATTTTCCAAATTTCGCCATCATTATGTAGAATATTAGAATGCCTCTCACTAAAATAAATCCAAACAACTAACGTGGTCTTGTACATGTCCAGGTGCCAAGATGACCCAGTACCTTCTGGAAAAGTCACGGATCGTCACTCAAGCCGCTGGCGAAAGAAACTACCACGTTTTTTACGAGCTGCTGGGCGGCTTAAGCAACTCCGACAAACAAAAGTACGGTCTAGTGGACGCGGACAAATATTTCTATTTGAACCAAGGCGGGGGAGACTGCTCCCCCGGACACTCGGGCTCCGGTGCCGATTGGAAAGCCCTGACCAGAGCCATGGAGGTTTTAGGGGTGGGCGAAAGCGAACAGGAAGGCATCGTTAAGGTTCTCGCTTCCGTTTTGCACCTCGGCAACATATATTTTCATCGAAGGCAATTGCGGTAAGTATAATATAATTGAACTGAGCTTTTATTTGATGAAAATCCATTTAAAACAATTCAATTAGAACGAAAAATGCTCAGATTTTCACATTTATTTATTGGTTTATGGCAGCTGCTTCAGCAACACCGTACGATATAAATTTAAATTTAGCAACGGAGACCAACTTTTATCCATGTTGGACAATTTAATAAAACCCACTAAAAAGCAGTCATTTCAAACGTTTCTAATCATAAATTTTACAATAGACTTATAACTTTGACAATACTACATTTTCCGAGTCCGAATTAGTAGGAAAGGGTTTTTAATTTATATTACTCGAACACCAATAACGAGTTAAATTATTCAGGGATTAATTAAGAACTTCCCATTAACGGTAATAACGACAATATCATAAACGAACACGTATTAGCTAATTTAATAAAATCTTAATTTGCAACTAACAATAAATTTCAAGATCTCTTCGCTATAATATAAAATTTACAAAGGATAGTCATAGCTATCGATGTTCTGGAATATATGATAAAAACCAGACAGTTTCTTCAACGAGAAATATAGCAAAGTATACAATATCGAGTTATATCAAAAACAAATCAATACCGTAATTGCACATTTATGCCTTTTTAATGGAGGGAAAAAATACCAAGTAATAATTATAATCTCCAGCCTCCAAAACTAAATTCTTTAATTACATTACACCAGCCGGATATGTCAATTAGGCCTGTGGTTTCTTTTGTAAATGCATCACCAGTTAAATTTTCAACGAGATTAATTTAACCAAGATATATTATCAACAATTCGTTCGAAGTAGTCAGCAAGGTTAAAGAGATAAAAATTTCTCCTAAGGAAATTCTAGTTACCTTTGACTTCCAGAGACACCCTCTCCTAAAACAAGACTAAAACAAAATTGCTTAATGGTTACTTGGGACCAAAATTATTATAAACTTTATATTTTATATTGCCAAAAAAAGAATCAATTATGGGAAACCCCTCTCTTAACGAGGATTAAAAAATATATCCTCCTCAAAACAAGCTCTGCTCACTCTTTCTCTTGCAAATGTGTTTATTGCTTTCGAAAATGGTAATCGTCGACCCAAATCCTCATTTCTATTTACGGACGGTAATGAGATTCTTTTGTTTTTCGCAGGCACGGTCAAGAAGGCGTCGAGGTGGGTTCCGATGTAGAAATCAAGTGGGCCGCGCATCTCCTGCAGATTTCCGCCTCCGGACTGCAGAGGACCCTGACGTCGCGGATGACTGAGGCGAGAGCGGAAAAGGTTCACTCGCCGCTCAGTATAGACCAAGCTTTAGACGCGCGCGACGCTTTCGCCAAAGCTCTGTACTCGGCTCTATTTAACTGGCTCGTGACTCGAGTCAACTCTATCGTTCAACGTGGCGGTCTTCACGACGCCGCGAGAATATGCCTGCTGGACATTTTCGGGTTTGAAAACCTGAACGAGAACTCCTTCGAGCAGCTGTGCATCAATTTCGCGTCCGAATCGTTGCAGCTGTACTTCAACAAGCACGTCTTCAAGTTGGAGCAGCAGGAGTACGCGAAGGAGAGGCTGGAATGGACCAATATCACTTGGAGCGACAATACGCCGGTTATCCAGGTAGGCGTACCGTACCGACGTGTATGGAAGATTTTATTTCGATGCATTATCTTCGTCAGCTCCTGGGCAAGAAACCCGTGGGTATTTTCCACCTCTTGGACGACGAGAGCAATTTTCCTCGAGCTTCTGACTCTTCGTTCTTGGAAAAGTGTCACTACAATCACGCATTGAACGAGAACTACTGCAGACCGCGGGTGGGCGGCAGAGAATTCGGGATTAGACATTTCGCTGGTCAGGTTTGGTACTCCGTGGACGGGTTCCTGGATAAAAACCGGGATATCCTGCGGACGGAGGTGATAGAGCTGCTCGCGTCGAGCAAGGAGCCCCTGGTCAGCGCTATTGCCAAGCCTCTGCTGAATCAGGCGCAGACCAAGACGATTCCCAGGGGTGCCAATGGTGAGTCGACTTTTTGGGGTCGTCCCTCTTTGACCGAAAAAATTACTGCGTTGCCTGCAGGTCGTTTCGTGACTATGAAACCTCGCACTCCCACCGTGGCGGCTAGATTCGGCGACAGCTTGCAACAATTGCTGGAGAATATGGCCAAGTGCAACCCCTGGTTCGTCAGGTGCATCAAACCGAACAACGAGAAGCTGCCGATGAAATTCGACATGCCGGTAGTTCTCGAACAGCTCCGCTACGCCGGCATGCTGGACACCATCAAGATAAGACAGGCGGGTTACCCGATCCGTATGAAGTTTCAACAGTTCGTCGAACGCTACAGGTGAGCAGGTGTTGGATAACATTCCCGCTCCGAATTTCGTAATAATTGTAATCAAACGTTCGACCATATGCTCGGCGAGACGGAAAAGTAAAAGCGGAAGAATACGCGATATCTGTGTCAATTGCGTTCGTTTTATTTATGAGTTTACGAAAATATCTAGCGAAATATTTCGGGTCGCACATTACATTATCGCTTAATCTGTTCTTAATTGCCCGTCTACGAAACGTACCCGAAAGGCTCTGGTCGAGACTCAGTCCGGTTCGACCTTGCCCGCGAAGTGGTAATTTAAAGACGATTAAAATTCCCAGGTACCTGTTGCCGCGCATACCACGAGGGTCACCTTACCGGGAGCTCTGCCGCTCTATTCTCGAGCAAATGCCCCATACTGGTACAGGTAAGTACCGAAAACGCTATAGTAAATGGACAGCTTGGCAGATGAGTTTTTCTACAGAGGGACCGGACTATCAGCTGGGAGCCACCAGAGTGTTCCTAAGGGAGAATCTAGAACGGCAGCTGGAGATCAGGAGAGCAGACTCGCTCAAAGGCGCGGCGGTTATCATCCAGAAGAATATCAGGGGATATTTGGCGCGGAAAAAATACCGAAAACTCAAACAGAGCGCGGTTACGATCCAGAAACACTGGAAGGGCTACCGACAAAGGAAACGTTACGCCAAAATCAAACGTGGTGTGGTCAAAGCTCAAGCGCTCTACCGCGGTAGAAGGGAGAGGAAGCTCTACGGCAAACGTAAGGCGGAATTCAAGAGACGCGTCGAAGCGGAGAAGGTTGCTCAAGAGAGGGCTAAGCAACGAGCCGCTAGAGAGGCCCAGCTTCAAGCTCAAGCGCAGAAAGCGAACGCGACAGCCAAGGCATCGGCGAGCAGCGCTACCAACAAAAGCACCGTCCACCATTTGGAAATACCAGCCGAGCTGGCTTTTATATTTTCCAAACTGGAGGGATACTCTCCTCCGCATACCGAGAGGAATCTGGTGAAAGTTTTGGGCGGCGTCACTGGAAGTCCACCGACTCTAAACTTGCCGCACGACATCAATCAGTTCGAGTTCTCCAAGTTCTCGTCGGTCTACTTCAAAGACGCCGACCTACACTACAAAAAAGACCCCATTACAGCCCCATTTCTATCCAAAGCCGCGGCTAGGGATCAGGATTTCCAAGACGCCGTCGCCTTGTTCAAATTGATCCTGCGCTGGTCCAACGATCCTCAGTTAACGGGTCCCAGAGAACGAGCTCTCGCAGACTACATGATCTACAAGGGTCTAAATTCCCGGGGCTTGAGAGATGAACTCCTGGTGCAGCTGTGTAACCAGACCTGGAAAAACGACAACGCTAACCGCGTATGGCAGCTAATGGCTCATTGCCTGAGCTGTTTCCAACCTAGTCCCCCGTTGAGCAAGTACCTTCTGAAATTTATATCTGACCACGCTCCGGTCGATTTCAAGGAGACTTTGCAAAGGAAGCTTACGAGGAGTCTACAGAAAGCACCCCACTCTCGAAACATGCCCCCAAGTCTTCTGGAGTGGCGTAGCATCAGGCAGAAGTGCAATTCTGCTCTGGCGTTGACGATGTCTGACGGTACAGTTTCGACCGTCAACGTAGACTCTTGGTCCACTTGTGAAGAAGTAAGTTTATAGTCTGCAGTTCCCGTGAAAGGGCTAACTTTTTTATGTTTACAGGCTGCATTGGTCGCCATGAACTCATTGGGGGTCGCTCCGGAGGGTTGGAGCGTAATCATGGACGACGCCGGAGTGGTATATGAAGGCAACGGCCTAGACTACGTCTTCGACATGGTTTCCGAATTGGAACTGTGTCCCGCGTTCCCCATTCAAAAATCTACTCTCCTAAGAGCTGGAACCAGAAAGAACTTCCCTGCCGAAGTCGATCACCACTCGACACCTGCTCCGATTAGGCCTTTGGTCCCACCACCCGAGCCGCCCATCAACATGTCTAGAAAAACGTCCCGCGAATCCTCCAGAGATATTTCGCGAGCTTCTCCTCAATCTCAAATGGTGGGCTCCCGCCAAAGTTCCCGGAAATCGTCTCGAGATCTGCTTAATAACAGCTACCACACTCCCAGTGGTAAAGAAATGCTTACTATGGACGTTACCACTTCAGGTCGCAAGGTTTCTCACGAGGCTTTATCGAGAACTTCCGCTCTAAACGAACGCTACTTTGATATGGAAAAAACGCGCTCGAGGAGCATGGACAATTTGCTCAACGAGCCCCAACCCAATCCTCTGGTGGAGTTGGGGTTGTCTCAATCGTCGAAACTTAACGAAAGGTATCATTCAGTGGAGCAGCTGGCTCCGATTAAACCTGTAATGAACAACCAAAACTATATGTCCAAACAAGAAATCGACTTCGAGTATCCAGAAATTTCGAGCATCAGCACTTCCCACAGAGGTGGACCGAGGTACATAAAATCTCAATACGCCGGTAAGAAGGCTCCTCCGGGTTCACACTCGAGCAGGGCTTACATCGAGAAGTCGGAGTTGACCGTGAGGAGTTCCGCCATGTCCGATACTAGCGAAGCACCTAGTCTGGCATCTCACGTGAGGAGGGTGAGAGTACCTTCGCAGGCATCCGATGTCGACCAGTTCTTAGATGAACTATTCAGTCCAGTACTGGATGGAAACCTGGACGAGCTTTCGGATGCCAGGTCTTTGGCTGCGAGCATCAAAGGAGGAAACTCCACCGATTTCGACAACGACTACATAGATGGCCTTGATGAATTTCTAGACGACATTATGGGTCATCCTTTAAATCCGGGTCTGAATCTATCAGATGCTGACGATTTAGTATTGAGAATCAAAGGCGGCGGACACCGAGACCGCGCCAATAGCCAAGGAAGTTCAATGCTCGACCAGGAGGTGGAAAATCTGACGAACCCGTCGCCTACCCAGCCTTCCGCCAACAGCAACGTCGACGAATACATCAGCGACCTCTTCCGACCCATCTTCATCAACGACAGCATCAAAGATCTGACCGAGAAGCAAAATCTACTAGAGGCTATCAAAGGTGGCGGCTCCACGCAAAATGAAGCCGGCACCTCCAATTACAACCTCGTCAGTCCCGCCCCATTGATGATGCCTCTTTTGAGTCCGAATCAAGAAGGTTTCGTTCCCGTTTTCAACGTCCCAGGTGTGGGATTGAACGGCGTGCCTCAAAACAATACCGATTTGGCTAATTACCAGCAGAATCTCCAGAGAGCATTTCTCCAATCGGCCATGGCTCAGAACATTCAGATTCAGCAACAGTTGCTCGCCCAGAACCAGGCTCTGCAACAGCTACTGACCCAGAATGTCAACACCAATGACGTAAACGTGAAGGTAAGAAGACGGAAAAGAGGTGGGAGGGTGCTCATTACTTGCTTCGTTTAGGTGACGGAAACGATCCAGACCACCGTCAAGGCTCAGGTCCACAGGTCGCAATCCCCGAGCAGAAAGTTCAGTTTCAAATCATCGGCTAGCAGCGCCAATAGAAAATCCAGCTCGCCCAGTGTTAGTTCTTCGGAATTTAAGTCCAGAAAAGCCAGTTCCGACTCCAATCAGAGCATGAACATTAGGAGTGGGATTCCAGCGCCGCCGCCTCTGCCTCCTCCAATAGATGAGGTGGATCCAAGTGAATCTCGACCTTTCATGGACCCATACGGTCGCGCGAAAACCGTCAGGATAGGTGGGTGATACGTTTCATCTCATCCAAACCACTAATAATTTTATTTAAAGGCAAATGGAGGTGGCCTCCGCCCAAGGACGGGTCGTCGAACGAAAACGGCGAGGATTTCATGCACTTTAAGATGCGGCAGCATCAAAGAAAAGTGACGCCCACCAGCAAAGAGGCGGTAAGCATCAACGGCAGCGTCTCGATGAAAAGCGAGACAGCGGCGGAATGGGAAGAGATCGAATTCGAGCCAGTGGTGAAGGAAACTGAGAGACTGGCCCGCACCAACTCCAAGAAGGCTTTCGAAATCGGGGCGGCTAGGCCGTCGCCGGGTAGTATCGGCAAAATCAAGCTCAGTTCCGAGATGAGACAGCGATTGGAACTGGTGACGTCCAATCATTCGGTGAGATCGAGTAGCGGCAAGGAGAAACCGTCGCGATCGGTCAACAAGCTAGAAGACACGAGGAAGATGATGTTGGAGCAACAACTGGCCGGCAGGTGGGACGACGGTAGCACGGACAACGTCAGCGGCAAGTCCAGTCCGGAAATGTCGCCGCAGGTGTTGCGCAACACGAATAAATCACCGACGCAGCAGAGCTGGACCAGCAGCAATTGGAAACCTGGCCCGCCTCCGCCGCCCATAGGACCTAATTCGTTACCGCCGGCGCCAGCAGGTCCGGCACCGTCGCCGCCAAGCACCAGACACACTCAGCCTCCACCGCCTGTGGAACCAGTCAAAGAATCGTTCAAAACTCACAGGGATTTCATTATCCAAACTCAGGACCGAGAACACCAGAATAGGGAGTCTTCATTCATGGCTCAGCGTCAGGATAGAGACACGTTCGGCGTGCATCAGAACAGAACGATGAACAGCTCGAAAAGGAACTCGTTTTCGGCAAATTGGGAAGTGCAAAGCAGCCTGGCCGAAACCCAAGACGATACCAGCTGGGCTAAAGACGGTAAAAATGGTGGGAGAGACTCGTCGAGAGGGTGGGGAGTGACACTTTTCTCTCTATTCCAGACACTGATAAACATGACGGCCGGACTTCGAGGGACAGCTGGGATCTGGGAGATTCTAGCGCGATCACATCGGTGGGTCATAGGAGCGTGAGCGAGAGGTAAGTTGTCCAAGCCGCGGTGTCGTAAATGTATTTGCTTTCCTGGTGGATACAGATGGGAAGAAAGAAAGTACGACAAGAACAGCAAAACCGCGTCCAAGGAGTCCGGCGAACGTCCTACGTTTAGGACGCATCAATTGAGTAAAAGTGCGAGGGAGAGGGAGAAGAAACACTCGGTCGCGTCCACCGCTATGACCGACAAGACAGATAGACACGAAGGTAAGCGTTTATTTGATGGTAGTTTTGTGGCGGTCGGAAAAAAATGTTGCTACTAAAATTGGGAGTAGTTGCATGGTTTTCATATGAGGTTCATGTTTGCGTTGTACCTTTAAAGAATATTACGAAAATTATTAAATGAAAAGCTTACCAGTTTCAAATCCAAATAGAAAACATGTTGCCCGGTTGTCCTTTAAGGTACTTCCGTTTACTGCATTTAATCATGATTTGCTTTCTAAAAAACTAATCAAAACTCCAGCTTTCACATTCCACGCTCATGCGCCATTTTCCATAAACTACACACCATAAAAAAATGACAACAGAGCCATTAAAAATACTGTATTGTTGCTTATTCTGGTAGAATGAACTGGTCAAAGGTTTGAATCTGTAGACATTGAGTTTGGAATTGAAACGGACACCTATGTTTACATTATGAACTCGCCGTTTCACTTATGCAGGGTAGGCACTTAAGTTGGCAAAATTTTTATTGCTTTCGCTTTTTCTTTTAAAAATTTTGCGTTTTCAGAATTATTTAGGACTCTTTTATGTTTCACCTTGTGTAGAAGAATTTTTAAAATATTTTAAGTTGTACCAAAAATTTTAGTTAATTTTTCAAATCTGAACAAAATCGTGCCAAACTGATTTGATTTTGATTAATTTATAAACATATCTGATAGCAACTCTCCTGTACAATTTTTATATTTTATTACCTACCTTGTATATCGTCTGACTGCACCTAAAATGTTTGTCGATTATAAGCCAATTTTTGATAATAAATGCATTTTGACGATGTGAAATTATTGAAAGAAAATATATTTTTATACCTTTGTAAATCTTATCGGAATTCATCTGATTTTTTTCCAATTCCTTTGTATTCTTTAGTGTTTCTTATTACATATTAAAAACGATCGCTGTATGGCATCAAAATGTTTTGTTTTTTTGGAAATTCTGAATTTTTATCAATAAATGTATATTTTATTTTTTTTAGCTCTAGACATTTTTTCACAAAAAAAAACCTTAATTAATGTTGTTGCGAGAATTTAAGTTCAATAAAAGAGAGGTATTTAAATCTAATTGATCGTTAAGCAATACATTTGAATGTCTCATCTTGTTAATCTCCATGGCTTCCAATAAATTTAATTTTCTACTTTTTGTGACTGTATGTAAAATGTCAAAATTGTCATCAAAAATGTGATTTTCTGTGTTTAAGTGTGTAGCATAATTAGAATCTAGACTATTGTTTTTAAACGCTCTTTTATGTTTGTTAATGCGTTTTTAAAGGATCTACCTGTTTGTCCAATATAAATTTTAGGACAAGATCCGCATTTCAACCTGTAGACACCTGATAGTTGAGATTTTGGAGACTTCGTTTTATTGTTTTTTAAAAATTTTCCTATTGTGTTGTTAGTTCTGAAAGCTTTTTTTTTCGTAAGTTTTCGTAATACTTAACTCTAAAAAATTAATAGAGTTATCCTGTTCAATCTCGATAGTGAATTTTATACGATTATGTAACGAGTTAATGTAATTTAAAAAAGAATTCAATTGTCTGTCCGTTCCAACAAAGCAAGCAAAGACATCAACCACGTATCTATACCACCCTAGAAAACTTTTACTTAAAGGATGTTCTTGTAAGATATTTTCCAAATTGTATATCTTCACACACGGACACAGTCATACATAACAGATCAAACCACCCTTATGCACACAAAATGGCTGCATTTCACTCTTTTATACACATATACTTCTTAATACGCCACTCTCAACAGAAGGCAACAGAACTTAATATCATTAAACAAATTGCATTGAATAACGGCTACAATCCGTCGATTATAGATAAAATTATAAATAAAAAAAACAAATCCAGACAACAGTAAACTCTATTTATCCGAAACCTAATACAGAATACGAACAATTTAAAACATACATAGGAGAAACTAGTGAAAAAGTTTCAAAACATTTGTCAAAATATGGTTTAAAAATAGCTTTCAGCACTAACAACACAATAGGAAAATTTTTAAAAACAATAAAACAAAGTGTCCAAAATTTCAAAAATCAGGTTGAAATGCGGATATTGTCCTAAAATTTATATTGGACAAACAGGTAGATCGTTCAACGCATTAACGAACATAAAAGAGCGTTTAAAAACAATAGTCTAGATTTTAATTATGCTACACACTTAAACACAGAAAAACACATTTTTGACGACAATTTTGACATTTTACACACAGCCACAAAAAGTAGAAAATGAAATTTATTGCAAGACATGGAGATTAACAAAATGAGACATTGAAATGTATTGCTTAAAGATCAATTAGATTTAAATACTATTATTAAGCTTAAATGCTCACAAAAACCTTAATTAAGGTTTTATTGTCATTTTTCGGTATATATAGTAGCAGGTAGTTTGTAATTATTACATTTGATAAAAACACGGTGTTGTCGAAACAGTTCAACATAAATCTAATATAAAATATTTGTAAAAAATGTAAGTAACCAATACTTTTAATTATTTTTTTATTTCTGACATTACATTAATATAATAATATTACTTAATACCTAAGGCAAGCTTGTTGCACCTAAAAGGGGACAGAAAAAAATATTTAAACATTTACAATAGAATTCCTCAAAAAACAGTATATATTATTTTATTTTTTTATTAAAAAAAATATTTTACCACAACAATTTTGTTTGTTAAAAATTAAACAACATTAATTCCAGTACTATAATAATAATAATCATTAAATTATTTTAAAGTTTGAAACTACTTATTTGCGCCAATTGAACTTAATTAATCATTCCTATTACAAAGCCATTACCGAATCAGCAAATTCAAATATGTCCAATTATATCCGAGGAAATTTCGCCACATAACTTGGAACCCGTAAATTTACATACAAATCGAGTAAATTTCGATTTGACAAAATTCCAAATAGGTAGCGAGATTATAGCAAAAGCTTGTTTATCTTCTCTGGTTCCTTAAAAAAGAAGTCTATTCCGCTGGAGAAAGTAGTACCCGGCTATGCCGTCTCGAAAATCACTTCGGACCATAAAACAAGGTCAAAAGTCGCAACGTTATTAATAACAATTATGCAGAAGTCGTTTGAAACATGTGCCTAATCTTATTAACCGGCGGACAAATACCTCGCCACCGTTACTTTCGTCGGTTTCAATGCTATCCGCCGTATTTTTTTTTGCCATTTTAATCGTTTCAACTCTCCTTAAGTTCTCTTGCACGCTCGATTTCATTCAGTACCAAGTGAGATTCGTTGGCGACTTGTCGGATAAATAAACCATGTGACATTGTCCCGTGTTTAGCCATGGGGATCGAAGGTATTTGGAAATTGCTTTACGACACTTGGGCTTAGATAATCGAGTCATTTTTCCTTGAATTTGTATAGTAATGCCACTAGAAGTCAAAGCATTTTTACAAAATTGGCGGATTTAACTTGATCTCGTGTGGTATTCGGTAAGAAAATTCCATACCAGTAGTTTTTAACCAATCAGAATGGATTTTTCCCCTCCCGTCTTCAAAGTACCTAATTATGTTGTTTTGCGAAAATGTACCCAAAAACTAATGCACAGAAAAATGCCATATATGAGACAATTGAAATACCTACTAAATGACATTAATTATTTAGGTTTCCCACAGACATTTTATATACAGTTTTTGCAGTTTTTATATTAATATCTTACCAAGACCAAATATCCATGCCTCATCAGTACAAACAAAACAAAATTGAAGGTTAGGACCTGCTTTTTCTTGCTTACACGATTTTAAAAATTCAATCCTCTCAAAAGATCTATCCCTGGATAATTTTTCTTCCAATTACAGTCTTTTTCTTTAAATAAACTACCTAATGATCAATTGTAAAAGTTAAATAAACAACATAACGTTTTAAAATTGTGTTTATTCCGTTGTTTATTTGACATGTACAATAATAATAATAACAATAGCAGAACCGATCGGAACGACAAACGAATAGGTTTGTTTAATGGCAACTAGAAAATATTTTTAATTTGTTAATTGTGATTATTTTCGTGACGGTCGTAGAAAAGTATTGTAAGCAACACGTTTGGTAAACTCTTTAATTTCACTTGCGAGTGAAATGCCATTTACCTCACTTGTTGCATAATATATTGTTGACATAATTCGTGCCGTTGCTATGGTGATCTGTCAAAAAACACGTTTTGATTAGTAAACAATTACAGACGTGGGGAAAATTCCCTTACGCTAAGCACTATTAAAATTTTTCATAATTATAACGTCACGGTTTAAAAAAATAAGACCTTTCGAAAGAATCTTATGCTACGAATAGTTTTTTTTATTTTATTAATTTTTTATTGTTACAATTAATTAGGGTCTTTGTAAAAGAGATTATTTTCACTAATGCATAAACCTACAGTTGCTTAAGAAATATTGTTGAACCAACTGTTAAACGTTTTCAATATGAGCAACATCAACATCTATTTTGTATTTTTGTTTCGGTATTGTTCATTATGAAGAAAAAATTCAACCAGAAATACAAACGGGATGCAACAAAATTCGCAAAACAGTGAGCTTAACGAACCAAATAAATATTTTGAACTACTAAAGGCTTAAAATTTTAATTTCTTAAAAATATTTTAATGGTGGTGGAATTGAACACTAGAATCGGAAAAGAAGATAGGGGAGATTTCGATGTTTACTTTACATGCACAAAAGAAATAGTCGAATCACTCAACTTTGAATAAAAAATTGATAAATTATACAGGGTTTAAAATTTTCTTCTAAAATCTGTCACTCGACCTTAACGGCCGGCATGAATGCTAGCTATCTGTCACATTTCATGGAACATATAATAATAATAAGAATTTGATACCGCCATATAAAAATAATACCATAAAACTAAAAACAACTATACGATTGCAGAAAATTGAATATTGTTTGAAAGCTTTTTGGAATTCTTAATTTTTTAGAAGTCTGATAAATACTTCTAAACCAAGATTGTCTGAACCATTATTTTTCCAGACATTAAGTCTATTGTAAGCTATCCTAAAGTTATTTTTGTCACTAAAACCGTAATCATGCACATTTCAGCTTAGTTGAATTTTTGAATCTTTTCCAACGTACGGAAAAAAATTAAAAACAATGTATTAAAAATTTGGATATTTCCTGGCGATTCCCCCCTCTAGCGTTTTAGAAGTTTCATAAATATATATATTTTAAGTATGTAGTGAAGCGGTGTACTATTTTGAACTTTGGTTTCCTCACAGTAGATTTCCTTCCCAAAGATAGTTTCACTTATACCCTTTTGTTGTGGTACCAGTTCAAGAGTGGCCAGAGTTCATGCGGCCGATCCAGACGCCGCCGTCCAAATCACCAGTCAACGGCCGCCACACCCCCAACGAACCCGATGAACCCCCGAGTCCCAAGTCACCCGGCAGACTCCTACCCTTAGGCTCTTCGGCTTACGTCACCTACAACCGTGTCGCGTGGCTTCTACGAGTCAGAAAAGAGTTCTTCAGCCCTTCGGAACCGCTAGGACCCCTCACCGCTCTTCACCTCATCTTTTGTCAGATCGTCGGAGACGTTTACGGGCTGACACCCTGTATAAGACTGACGCCGAACGAGAAAAGGGCCGGCGTGAACATGCTTTCCGGATACGGCGTCACCGCCGAAAATTACAACACTTCCCACAGGGCCAATGTCAAAAGAAACGTCATAGAACTCGCCCGAACATGGCCGCTCTATTTTGCCAGACTGTTTCCTGTGTCCGGAGCTGCCCAGGTAATTATAGGAGGGCTACCATTATACGGGGTAACTCATAAGTAAGGAGCGGAAAATATTCAAACGGAAAACCGCATTTAAATGCAAATATTCATTTTTATTATATGAAAAATTATGAACAATAAATAAATTGAGGTGGATTTTACTTGAAGAGAATCAATTTAACGCAATTAAATTACAACATCAAATATAAGATTTTAACTGTTATTTATTGTTTTATGACGGTTGCTCTGGCAACACCGCAACAACTATCGTACAACACCGCGCCCTTATCAAATACCATGGGTATTTGATAATGCCACGGTATTGCCGAAACAACTGTCATAAACCAATAAATACCAGTGAAAATCTAAACAGTTAATTATGAATATTAATGGTGCATTAAATTATGCAAGAAGAAATCTTATAATTTTTTACAGGTTTGAATAAATATAAATGAAAAAAAAATCTTAATAAAAGTGTTTTATTAATTGATACACAGATTTTACTCACATAGGAAATCGCAAAACAGAAAAATCTTAAAATCTTAAAAAATATATATATATTACAATAATTCAACAATAACATCGAAACGTTCAGATAATAGCAACTTGCCCAATATACAATTCATAAATGAACAAACTATCCTTTGCTGCTTTTACTTACAATTTTTGAACAAGCTATACAAAAAAATTTTTCCATCCTAAGTGAATTCCGGAGAGCTCTTTATCCACAATATTTTGGAAGTTAGTTTTTGGTATTTTAACAAACAGAAGACGTACAGACAGACACAATTCACTTTACAAAACAAGGCACACAAGAAGGTTTCAAGTAAATGATATCAAAGGTACTAAAAATTGCCACCCCTTTGAACTATCGGATTCAGTTTGCAATATTATTTCATTAATTTAACAAAAACATTTTGCTTTTATTGGGAATACCCTACAGTGTGGATATATAAGCAGTAAAATACCTGAGTCGGCCCGGCCCCGTTGTAACGTAATAAGCTAATTGCCGTGTCGAAAAGGGTCTTTATTTGGCAATAAATTTCAATAAATTCCCTATCTCCTATTATTGGGTAAAAAATGTATGTTTTGTAAAAAACGGACCAAAATTGCCAAAAAATCATTTTGTATTTTTTACGAATACCTGCTATACTATTTAATTTATTATTTATTATACTATAAAACACTTAAGGGGTCATTTCTTGTTTAAAATAAAGGTTAGTTTGTCATATAAATGGTAGATCAAAAGCCAACCATCAGAGAAATATGACGCTACAAGCATAGCCGACAAATAATGTTTTTATTTTTTATCTTAAAAACGAAAATAGATAGAACAACAAAATATTACATGAAATGAGTGGAGGGAATTGAATTTGAATATCCTTATCATTTTTCTTAACTAAAGTTAAGGAAACACTTACTCAACAAAATATACATCATTTTCATTTTATTTTGAAACTTTGGTCTCCTACAATTTGCTGATAATACTCACCGTTTCCAAATAAAAAAATAAATTTAAAGCAATGCATAACGAGTTAAAAAATTATAAGATAAAAATAATTTAGTTTTGTTTGTTGTAGTTTGAATACAAAATTTGACTAATTTAATGAAATATTTATTATGTAATCATTTCATTGTTCAGTAATACCAGTTGTAATTAGTCGATTGCGAATTACACTAATGCAGAAATGGAAGAAATTCCATGGACTTGCCATCTTTATGGTTTCAGAAATGTTTATTAGTAAAATATTTTTTAACTGAAATTGTTTAAATTGAGGGAAAAGATTGTACTGTTTGACAGCATCCAACTAAATTTTTTTTCTAAAATATTTTTTTGCCCCCCATTTTATTTCGTTAACTGTGAACTTTAAGTTCTGTGAAAAAATTACATCAGGCAAAAAAGTTTCCATAACCTCGTCAACATATATTTTTTCTTGTAAGTTTTTCTTTAAAATTAGTGAACAAGAATGAGTCTAATTCAATCCTCTCCACTCATTGTAAAGAAATAAAAGATACTTTCGGAATATTTCAGTTTTTCCACATTTATTTTGAAACAGCCGTTAAATAGTATAGGGAAACTCAAAGGAACCTACCATGACCTTTTCTCCGATATATAAAAATAAACTACTACACCAAGTGTTGGATTTCAAATAAGAAAGTTAGGTGCTGTAAGTTGAAAAAACGTGGTATAATGGAAATTGTCGTCATTGAATCGCGAGATTTTCCACAATGTTTCGATAAACTCTTAGAAATATAAAAGAATTCCACAGTTACATTATATTTTGGATTTTTTATATAGTACTGTACTGTTTTTCATCAAATTTGACAGTCAGTAATGCGAAAACTATAAGGGTTTCCCGGTAATTTGGAGAAACTTAAAGGTAGATATAATGTGATAATAATTTTGCTCGAAACCCGGTTTTACTTTCCAGCTTTCCGAGGTACAGTTAGTTGCGGTATCCCATTGGGGCGTTCATCTGGTGAAACGTGACCAGAACCACCTCCAAGTGATCAGATCTTTCGCGTTGAACGAGATCACGTCGTGTACGGCCCCCAGGCCTACGGCCGTGAGTTTGGACGGGCCCCAGGGTAGGATCAGTCTTCACACGCCCAGGGCTCAGCAGTTGTCTGAGATGGTTAGCAAATTCTGCGCGGAATTTAGAAAGGTAAGTGACGATATGGCGGCAAGTGTTAACAAATTTAAAGTTGGCTTGAAAATTTGGGATATTTGTTGGTTAATATTTGGTGTGTAAAAGGCGACGTTCCAATGAAAGTTAGAAAATTGACAATCGCAGAAATTATACTGTTTTGAACTTTAAATGTGTTAAAATTAGATAAATTAATTATTGATTATATTATATATATTACAAGCAGATATCGGGTTCAATTAGTTGTTCTTCTAATTTTGACAACACATTTAAATTTTTGCACAATTTAATTATTTTAAATACAACTCTGTACATTTTTCTACGTGAAGTCACTTTAATAATAATACATTAGAAGTTGAGAATTGCCCTGAGTATAATTGCGTCTTTTGAAAAAAAAGAAAAAAACAAACAAGAATGGCTTTGGAGTAAAAGATGTTTTTCTGGACGATAAAAGAACCACAAAAAAAATCAAAAATAAAAAAAAAATACTTCGCTTTATTTTATTGCTCCCAATTTAAAGAGTGTAAATCCGGGTCCAGACTTCTACTTCCGAAGTCTGAAGTCGGTAGCTGCAAATTTGAAGTACTTATTATGTTTTTTAATATTGGACGGAATATCGCGAACACCCTGTACAATACTTAAAAACCGTAAATACAAAAGTTTAAGCTGTCTATATGGGCTACATCGTCATGTAAAAGAAACTGACATCTAAAATACAGATATGAAATTATTGCCAATTTTCAATAATAGGGGGACCCATTTTTCATTATTTTTGGATTTGCTGCGCACCCTGTATATTTTTGAAACATTGTCAAGGCTAAAAGTTTATGGAGTTATTTCCTCCTCTCTTGTAAACGGTTTTTGAAAAATGGTCTTTTTTGTAGACCCTTGCACACGCGATTTTTAATTTTTTTAAAATACTTGCCGACCCCCCAGCCCACCCATTTTCAATAGGTTCCGTCACGGGGCGAAGCTGCATATATTTTCCAAATATGAAGTCGATCGCTTCAAATTTCGGAGAGTTATCGTGTTTCATAGCAAGGTCCAAAAAACAGTCGAAAATCGCGAAAAAAAATGGATACCGACATCAGATCAGGGCCATTTCTTATATGCTTATGTGCCTCGTGGAGGATTAAATTAAATCCCAATAGATGCTTAAAACAAAACTCTATTGTTATTCTCTGTATGTTGTGGTATGCCCAAATTATGCGATGAGATTGAGGTGAGTTTCTTAATTGGTTTTGATTAGTAAACACAAACACTGTCGCTATTAAATAACAGCGGAGCTCAAAAGCAATCAAAGGTTTAATAAATTATCGAACTCAAAGTATGGTATAAAGGCATTTTCTTTAATATTTCGGTTTTTTTGAACTACAAGAGTTGATAAAGTTCAAAACTTCGCAAATGCAATTTTTCCGAACGTATGAAAGACAACTTAAATTTTCTCACGGAATATTTTGAGTCACCCTGTATTTCGCACCAAATACATTCGTCGTCAACCGTGCACGTTCTAATAATTAATATCGCGTTTGTTTATTGTAATAATTGGCCACACGAAGTGGTCTTTAACCATCAACCGCGAAGTAAAAGAAAGCATTCGTACCCCGGGTTAAGAATATTAACGCAAACTACACGTATATAGGCTCATTAACGCGAACTGGACAAATAAATGATGCAATCAGAGTGGAAACGGCTTAAAATTAGTTACGCCGTTTAGACGTTGAGCGGAGATTTTTTTTCTTCTGCTCTACCTCGAGTGGAAGTTCCGTTTTAGCGTAAATTGCCGCGCCGCCATTGTTTGAACACGTCAAAGAAAATCGAATATTTTTATATAATTAATATACAGGACGCACCTGCAAGAACCTGCCGCCAAAAGACAATTTATTAAATTTATCCCGTAATAAAAAATGGCGGAAATTGGAATAACGATATTTTAAAACCAGATGGGTACATAATTTGTTTTCTTAAAAATACTGAGGATACCCTGACCATACACCGGGTAGGCAACTAAAACAAATGCTTTTTAATAATCAAGGGGACTGAAGCATGGTTAAATATTCGATATTTTAATTCACTAGAACCTCCAAAAGTTCTGCAAAAGTTATATAATATTACGTTAAAATATTTTCTAGGAAAGTATTTGAGTTAACTTGCATAAATAGTAATTATGAATATTTATAAAATAAAAAGTAAGTTTTCTGCTGATCCACTATAAAAATTACAAAATTTATCAAGAAACGAGATTATTACAAATGAAAATTCGTTTTTCTATATATTCAATAATAGAAAATGATTCGCTGTTTTATAAAAAAAAAAAGCGATCTCTCCGCGTATCGCTGTGAAACTGACAACGCACGATCGAAAATTAATCCATTAATTGTTGTGGAAGATGGCGTCGCTTTCTCGGCTGCACTTTCAAGCCGTTTTAACTAAATTACTATTAAAACAATCACGGCGTCCATTAAACGACAATGCCACGTGATAACAAGGCAGATAGAATAGCTTAAATGGGCTTCCATAAAAGTTATGTATGGAAAACCAATGGAAAGATAAGTAACCCTAACCATCTCTATTATCCACGAGTAATCAGTATTCTACCAGCAATTTGAGAAATATTTGAGAAAGTTTTGTATGCTGTCCCTTGCGGATTTAGGAGGATTAACCATTAACCACAGTTTGCTTATAAGTAAGTTAAAGTTTTGTAGTTCCTCATCAGCATCGTGTAGTTTAATTAAATCATATCTATCAAACAGGTTTAAAAAAATATTCTGTAATAATACATATTCAGATCAGATTCTATTGCTTTCTGGAGTCCCACAAGGCTCCATTTTTTAGTTTATATTGCTGACATTTTGAACACCGTTCTATGAAGTAGGGTACAGGTATTTGCCGATAATACGCGCTTATGACTATGTCGAGGCAGAGTCTAATATGAATCGCGATTTACCTATTATAAGTTACCTTTCTAATGGCTACAACCTCAAATTAAACCCAACGAAATCATACGCCATAAGGTCAAAACAAAACTATGTCTTCAGTCAGTAGACTTAACTTTGAATGACACTAAATTAAAATTTGTAACTAGTGCAACGAATGTGGGGCTTGTATTGGATACTTAGTTTCGGTTTAGGAGACATTTGAAATCTAATTTAATAAAAAAAACCTGCTGCTAATTAAATATGCCGTATAATAGCAGGCATATACTGGGCAAAATTTTGAGAAGAAACTTGCGAGTCACTTGTCTAATTATAATTATGATTTTCTCTACGGATTTTGCTTGGATCATGATAATCGAACCCGAATAGAAAAAGTCCATTGTCTCCATTTTGTCAATGAGATCCAAAAATTTGATCATAATTCTCATCTATATAGCTATGTAAATTGGCTGACAATGTATGCTCGTAGGGATCTAAATTTTAGTTGATTTTTAATTTATTTAAAATTATTAACGACCCCTTGCTCCCACCTCTATCCGTGAGCGATTAATTGCATAAATTTAAGTACTAAATTAAGATCTAAACTAAGTTAAGAACTAACCAAACCAACGAAAACTAACCATTGTCATAGCAACAATTATAAATGTTTATTTGTAAAAAAAACTTCATTCATAAAGCATATATTTTGTTTTCTGTATATAATTAATAATTAAGAATTTTCTCTAGCTCATTTAATCTATTGATGGAACTTGTAAAACAACTTCAAAAGGACGATAACAAAAATTTAAAAAATTCACAGAACACTACTTCACTGCCTCTGCACGGTTATCTAACTAATAACTGGCAACTGTCATCAAATCGAGATACTGTACTGACACTCTCCTGAAAGGCGGGGCTAAGGCAGTGCGCGAAATGATCGGCGCAGGATCAGGGAAGTAGCCGCGCTGTATGTTAGGTTTAGCTTATACACTGGATTTATAGAATCCGTACAACCCCTTCCATAATAGACTTAAAACATAAAGATTTAGTTTCTTGCGAAAAGTTATGTCTTGGTTAGTTGCACAGGTTTTGCAATGACTTGTTCTATGCGAATTTTAAAAGGTATCTCCAAAGATATAGTAATTAATTTTCACTGTGATATCGGACCTTGAATTAAAAAAATATACGAATTGTTTTGGTTAGTTTAGAATAGTAAATTAAAAATGTTCGTTGCTTGTTTTGTGATTAGTGGCCCCGAAGAAGACAACAAAAATTCTTGATTTGATTTTTCATAAACCAGCCGACAACCCATCAATACCCCAACTTTGAAACAGAAGCTGTCAAATTTATATAAGAACGATTTAAATCAAAATGAACGCTTATTTTCCCAAACTGTGTTTCATTTTTGGAACGGCGGACACCCGGTATAATAAAGATGAGCTTACTGCTGCCACATTCCATCGGAAAACACCTGTTAGCGTGTCCTAGTGCAGAAAACGGTAGACTACAGTTGTCGGAATATTTGTCGGCCTACTAGGTCGACGCCGGCCGGATACGACAAATGTAAGACGTCGCTTCCGCGAGTGGGCGCCCCCCGGACGACGCTTAAGAAACGGGGGGATGTTTTTTTTTCTACTGCCGGTGGTAATATCGAAAATACTGGAATTAAAAAATAAACGGCCTTGATGGCGTCTCGATCGGACATAATCGGAAGGTAACGCGATAATTATAGTAATAATTCGCCATGCGTTGTATGCAAAATGGCTTCCCGTCGTCGCGCGGCGGATTTGGTGACCTCAAATCTAATTGCCATTACTATGGCGTTTCCGTTACCTATAATGTTTATGGGATAACAGATTGCCGGCAAAAATCTAAGTAGAACTAGAGTTGAAATCAACGTCGAAAATGGGTATATGGGTTACCGGGGAAGTATAAAATTAAGGCATTCCGTACAAAATCACTGAAATTTGTATCGCTGCTATATTGATGTTGTTGCCCTTCTCCTGTATTATTATGATTTGTGCTTTATATGATATATAATGATATATGATATATAATGCTCAACTGTTTTGTATTGTTTGTGACCACCATTGTGCTATTTTT